ATTATCCCTGAGCCTACTCGATACTCCTCTGTTGATCCTCTAAACTCATCACGTTACACCAACCATGGAGATCCGGTTCCCCGTGAGTATCCCTCTCTAGAGGATGATGATGACACACCATTCACCTTCCAGCGACAGCGGTCTCGCAGCCCTCGCATTATTCCTCACCTTTGATCGGGTTAGGTCTCTCATCCTTTGTATATATCATTATTTCATTTTGTACTTTCCTTTCATTTTCCCTCGGGATTACTTTCACACCGGGCCAGTGTAAGTAAGTCTGGGGAGGGTGATTACTGATCAGTGTTGCATTTTTTTTTTTTTTGGGTGTTTTCTTTGAGTCATTTTGATGTCATTCTTTTAGTCGTTGAGTCTGTTTTATCGAGTCAAAAATCGTGTCGAGAAACAAGGTTGATAATTGAAGGGTGGTGTCTTATTTGAGTTGTAAGATGTTGTAGTTGAGTTGATTCCTGATTTTAATTAGTGTTCTTGCCTTTGATTGACAATAGAGCCAACCTCAATGACAAAACAAGCTTGCAAAATCGATTTTCATTATCTATGGTGACTGAAACTCATCTGAAAGTTTCTTTTTCGATACAGTCATCGCAGCTGCTCTCACACTAGTCATGGGACAGCGTTACTTGCTGACTGGAAAGATTATGCCGGCTGGTTTGGTTGCTGGGATCAGGTAAAAGTTTCCTCTTTTCTCCTTTCCTTCTATAGACCACTGGCTAGGCTATCTATCTTTGTTTCGGTCCAAGATTTGGTATTTTGAGCTTTTTTACACCATTCACTTAACCTAAGAACCATATCTGTATTGCAGTGCTCTCATGACCTGTTTTTACGTATACAAGATCTCTACTGGTGGCAATAAATTCCCATCAAAAGCGGAATGATGGTTATGCAACTCTGGTTTTTCGTGGATGCAGATGATACTCTCTGTTGTTGAATTTGTCGATTAGAAATCTCTTTGGTGTAGACAATGCTGCTGTCATAATGTCTTAATAGCTTGTATTAGTCAAAGAACTGCATATGGTCTTGTGTGTTTCTGAGATTAGTTTCTTGTCATCGTATTTTTGTAACCACAAACTGTTTTGAGCCATAATATATGAGATATTTGACGTTTTTATACACACTTGGGATCTGAGAATGAGAACATCGTAAAATAAAATATAAGTTGATCTTCAAAACTTCTTTGTACCTTGTGTCATCACAACAAAAAAATTTGAACTGTGTTTGATCTCACCTTAAAGTATATATATTGATTCATGACTGCAGTGATTAAGGCATGCAAGACTCTTTTGCAAGAATATGGAAACCAGAGCCAAGCTGTCCGATGATTCTTTGGAGAAGTTGGAGAAAAGGTTGTGCCTTGATGAAAAAGGAAACTTAAGCTAAAGGTCCATCAATGGAGGTGACACATAGTTTTAGAAAATGTGCTTTTCTCATGCTAGAAATGTTATGGAGAACCAATGTGCTCTTTGGAAAAACTTTTCATGCTAGTAATCTTTACTTTAACCAGGTGACAGCTAAGATAAGTTCTTTTTGACCCCATTTCCAATATAGCAACGTTCTTCTCACAAATATAGAAAAACTGCAATTAATGCTACTGCAGAGTCTGATTACGTTTTAAGCTAAATTTTCCATTCTTAGGACGTGGTAGATTGTGTAGATTATTGCTAAACAGCTCATGAGTTCAATAATTCACTTATTCTTCACTCCATCTTCAGCAAAAAAAGAAAAGAAAGAAGAAACACTGAAAGCTCTCCACTACCATGGCGTGCCCTAGATTGATTTTTCTGATTCTGATCAAGTTCTTCATTTTACAGACTGCTTTATCAAGTTCTTGGCAAACATTGAGTGGTTAGAGACAGAGTTCTCTCACTTTTTCTGTACGTGACTTTTTCATAAATGTTCTTACAGTTTCTTGATGTGTTTTTGGCAGGGAAACCTCCGGCTGTGATTGCTCGAGGCGGATTCTCTGGTATGTTTCCAGATTCCAGTAGTCAAGCATATCAGTTAGTGAATATAACAACTTCACCAGACGTAATGCTCTGGTGTGATCTTCAACTAACAAAGGATGGTGTTGGAATCTGCTTTCCAAATCTGAATCTTGATAACGGTTCTGATGTAATGACCATTTACCCAAATTACAAAGAAAGGTTTTCTGTTGATTTCACATGGAAGGAACTATCTGATGTGAAATGTAAGTCCTTTTAACTATATCTCGTTTCTTTAAACCCTCTTCTAGTAACTAAAGCTTCTTAAATTAAAATGTTCAATTCAACGTTTCTGATGTTTAAACTATATCAACTCTGCAAATGTTTCTATTCAACGTTTCTGATTGTAACTCTCTCCCCTCAACAGTGGCCCGGGGTGTTCTCTCAAGACCAAATATATTCGATGATCTTTCCTCGATATTGACTATTGAAGAAGTAGCAAAGTTGACAGCCTCAGGCCTCTGGTTAAACATTCAGGTATAACGTATATACTCTTTTATCGCTCAAAGTCTTTTCCATAAGATCAATAAGTAATCTTCTTCCTCTACTTGTCGTCTCTACACTTATAGGACAGTGCTTTCTACGCGCAACACAATTTGAGTATGAGAAACTCTGTTCTCTCTCTATCAAGACGCCTGAAAGTTAACTTCATATCTTCTCCAGAGATCAGTTTCCTGAAGAGCATGAAAAACAGTGTCAAGCCGACTGTGACAAAACTCATCTTTAAGTTTCTGAAACAAGACCACATAGAACCCTTCACCAACCAATCTTACGGCTCTCTTGCCAAGAATCTAAGTTATATAAGAACGTTTTCTTCTGGAATTCTTGTTCCAAAATCTTACATATGGCCCATAGATTCAGCTCTTTACCTACAACCCCACACGTCGCTTGTAACAGATGCTCATAAAGAAGGTTTACAAGTTTTCGCCTCGGAGTTTGCCAATGATTTTGTAATTGCTTATAACTACAGCTATGATCCAACGGCTGAGTATTTATCTTTCATTGACAACGGAAACTTCTCCGTTGATGGTTTCCTATCAGACTTCCCGGTGACTCCATATCGAGCCATCAGTAAGTAAAAAAGAACTCTGTTTTTCTGTCTCTTCATCGAGCTTTGCATTGCATATAACTACATTTATGATTCTTGTTTGCTTTCCAAGATTGCTTCTCTCATGTGGACACCAAAGGAGCTAAGAAGCAAGGTAATGCTCAAGAGACCATATACATATGATTTCTAAATCGTTCAGGTGCATTTTAACCGTTATGTCTCGCAGCTAAGATAACTATTCTCTCGAAGAATGGAGCGAGTGGAGATTTCCCGGGCTGTACTGACTTGGCGTATGAGAGAGCTGCAAGTGACGGGGCAGACATTCTTGATTGCAATGTCCAGATGTCTAAAGACAAGATTCCTTTTTGTATGAGCTCCATTGATCTTATAAACAGCACTAATGTTATCGAAACAAGCTTCAGAAATCTGTCATCAGTAGTTTCAGAGATTCAACCGAGAAGTGGGATCTACAGTTTCAGCCTGACCATGTCTCAGATACAAACCTTGAAGCGTAAGAGCCAAAACTACAAAGTAAAATCAAGATTCAATATAAAGACTTTGAATGGAGATCATATCTGAATTGGCTTTGTTTCCTCCTTTATTGCAGCTACTATTTCGAATCCTGAAAGGGACTGGGGTTTATTCAGAAACCCAAGAAACAACAAGGCTGGGAAGTTTCTTACATTATCCGAGTTCTTGTTTCTTCCAAACCATTACAGCTCTCTCTTAGGCATCTTGATAGAAGTGGAGGTGGGAGTTCTGCTGCAAATCTTGTGTGTAAATAAGTACAACACATGACTCTTTTCTTGATATAGGATTTTCCGTTTCTTAGAATGCAGCTTATTTAGTGGAACATCAAGGAATTAGCGTGGTCGATGCGGTACTAGATGAATTGAAGAGAGCTAATAATAATCAGCAAAACAAGACAAGTGCAAGAACAATACTGATCCAGTCTACTGATAAGTCTGTCTTGATGAAGTTCAAGGAGAAGAACAAAATGAATCATGATGAGCTAGTCTATAGAGTCGATAAAGACATCCGTGATGTAGAAGATTCTGCAGTCAGGGACATCAAGAATTTCGCAGGCTCGATTGTCATCAGGAAGAACTCAGTCTTTCCTTACAAAGGGTTTTTCATCTTTAAGAAGGGGCCAAATGTTGTTTCAAAGCTAAAATCAAGCGGGCTTCGTGTTTACGTAGAAACATTTAGCAATGAGTTTGTAACTCAAGAATATGATTTTTACGAGGATCCAACGTTGGAGATAGACTGTTTTGTCCGGGATATCCAAGTTGATGGCATTATCACTGACTTCCCAGCAACCACTGCAAGATACAGAAGTAAAAATATAGTCTCATCTTCTCTCTATTGCTTCTTTAACTTTCCTTGCGCCAATCTGAGATAATATTTGATTGCAGAGAACCAGTGTTACGGCAAATTTGATCTGCCTGATACCGGTGAGCTCAGAACTTTGGGGAATCCAATGATTTTGGCTCCAGCCGAAGCTCCATATCCATTACTACGTATCTCAGATGTCACGGAACCTCCATTGCCTGAAGTAAGAAGTCAGACTCCTGCTTCTTCACCATCAAAGGCAGAGGAAAAAGCAATAGAAGTTCCCTTTGCATTTATAGCCATGGCCATTCTTGTGAGCTTCTTTATTTCAGTTTAGTGTTAAGTGCTTGTAACCTACTTCAACTGCACTATCTATCTGCAAGTAAATCTATGAATAACAGTGTCTAGTACTATATCATTCTTCTTTTTAATGTTTCAATAAGATATCTAGAATTTCAAATTTAGAAGAGGATATTAATAGGAATATGGAAATGGATAAACATATCTTTAAATCCAAGAAAACCAAAATTAGCTTATTTGATCTTTTAACTCTCTTCCAATGGACTCCACCCAAATTTAACCATCCATTTATCAAGAAAAAAGGAAAGATACAATAAACAATCAAACATAAGGGAAGGATTCTAAGTAGCAAAATTTATTTCTCATTTTTGTTTGTTCCTTCTTTCTTTTGAGGCCAAAAGAGACCAGATTCATTTTTGGTTTCTTCAAAGGCCAAACCTTTTTTTTTCTTATTTTCTCAGCAAACCCTTTTGCCATCTTACAAAATAAAATCTGTTCGTCTGAGAATTATCTCGATCCCTTTTGGATTCGAGGTTCAAGAACATTCATGAACTTCGAGTAATCAGATCATCTTCTTGTAGTAATAATCCAGGAAGATACATAACAACACATAATACAGAATGAAAATAAATTGCTTGTTCTGTTGTATGTCCGAGAGACGATTTACCAGACGATCATCATCGAGACAAAGCATCAAAGACTGCATTGATGCAAAGAACAATATAACTACGTTTGACAACATCTCTTTTAAAACAGGTCTCATATTCTACCTTTTTCCATTATATACATTTTCAAATTCCTTAAAAGCTTTCTATCTAAAAGAAGCGAGGCGTATTTGCACATACCTGCAGATAGCAGTAGGCGAAGATACATATCCGAGGAGATAGCAAAACTCGGTAAAGGGAACATCAGTGCTCACATTTTCACATTCAGAGAGCTCTGCGTCGCCACCAAGAACTTCAACCCCGATAATCAGCTCGGTGAAGGCGGGTTTGGAAGGGTTTACAAAGGGCACATAGAAACCCCGGAACAAGTACTTATAACATTCTCTCAAACAACATCTATCCATCATATTCTGTTCAGTGGTTTGATTCTGATTCTTCCATGTTTAGGTTGTTGCGGTTAAGCAGCTAGACAGGAATGGTTACCAAGGGAACAGAGAGTTTCTTGTGGAAGTCATGATGTTGAGTCTCTTACATCATCAAAACCTTGTCAATTTGGTTGGATATTGCGCAGATGGCGATCAACGGATTCTTGTCTATGAATATATGCAAAATGGCTCTTTAGAGGATCATCTTCTTGGTAACATTATATCTAAACACCATCACTACATTCTTTCACATGCACACATTCTAAAGATTACCTTCTTAATACTTCAGAATTGGCGCGGAACAAGAAGAAGCCGTTGGATTGGGACACAAGAATGAAAGTTGCAGCAGGAGCAGCGAGAGGGCTTGAGTATCTACACGAAACAGCTGATCCTCCTGTGATCTACAGAGATTTCAAGGCCTCAAACATATTGCTTGACGAAGAATTCAATCCAAAGCTTTCGGATTTCGGTTTAGCTAAGGTTGGTCCGACCGGTGGAGAGACTCATGTGTCAACGAGAGTGATGGGAACATACGGCTATTGTGCGCCTGAGTATGCTCTCACAGGACAGCTCACTGTGAAATCAGATGTATACAGCTTTGGAGTCGTGTTCTTGGAGATGATCACAGGAAGAAGAGTCATTGACACCACAAAACCAACTCAAGAACAGAACTTAGTCACTTGGGTACGCAAAAGTTCTTCAATTTCTTCTATCTGAACAAAACCGTTGATTGGTTTTATTAATTTGGTTTGCTAAAATGCGCAGGCGAGTCCATTGTTTAAAGATAGGAGAAAGTTCACGTTAATGGCGGATCCATTGCTTGAAGGAAAGTACCCGATAAAAGGATTGTATCAAGCGCTTGCAGTAGCAGCAATGTGTCTTCAAGAAGAAGCAGCAACGAGACCAATGATGAGTGATGTAGTCACTGCGCTTGAGTACTTAGCCATGACCAAAACCGAAGAAGATGGACAAACTGTAGAAGAAGAAGAAGAAGACGAAAGATCCAAACTTTGAGCAATTATTATTTTTTTTGTTTCGTTTGTAATTTTGAAATGATCGGTTTTAGGAAAGTTGAGAACTTTTCGAATTTACCAAAGAAAAAGAAAAATTAAATGAGAGTTTTCGAGTTCCCATCGAACATTTTAAAAGGATTTGCTGAGAATTTTGTATCTGGGGTTTCAAAGTTTCAGACTTTTTTACGAATTTAAAAATCCCAACTTTATCGGAAAAAATGTCTTTCTTTTTTGTCCTTTTAAGTGAATGATAAAGAATTAAGTAAAGAAGATAAAAGGGAAAAAGGGTTTAAGGGTTTGTCATAGAGAGCAATGGCAACCAGCTCAGCTTTGTGAAAAACGACAAAATTGGACAACGGTAAACCCTACTTTTTATCTCTGGAAGACAAGCTGGGGAGATTAGCTTCACTTACTACGGCCATGGGGGTTTCTCTTCGCCACTTGTCTCCTTCCTCTTTCTGGGTTTCGCGTCGTCCTCGCGTTTCTTCTTCAATTCTTTCTTTTCTTGTGCCTCGCCGTCGAATCCTTTGCACCAGGTTCACTGCTTTTCCCTTTCTCATCGATACTTAGCTTTACCCATTAGTCAATTGCTCTGTTTCGTAAGTTTGTTGTTAGTTTTATATAGTGATGATTCACGTTTTGAGGTTGTTGAGGAAGCTGGTAAATATGTGTTTGCTGCAATTTGGTGTCAATTGCTCTGTTTAGGAGTCTGCTTTTGATTAACCTTTTTTGGTTAAGTAGAGTAGTGTATTTAAGTTAGAGTTGGTTTGGTTATTATTCTGAGCTTGAAGGTGTTCTCTTCTCTGTGTGTTGATACCTATTTTGGTGCTTATGATTTGCAGGAGAATAGCCATCACAAAGGGAAATGCCGGATATTCCACTGCTACTGATTGTGGTGGTTCCCATGGGTTTCAGCATTCAGGTGGTCATCAACGGTCATCCTCTGTTCATTTTAGTGGAGAGTGGAAGCTTAATTTGGGATCTAACACGGCGAGAATGGTACCACCAACTGTGAAACAAGCTGGAGCTGTAAGTGCTTGGAGGGAGGAAGTCAATGATAAGTTAAGAGGAAGAAATGGCGAACATGCTAACAACCAGGATGATGCTTTTGGTAATTATTTCAGAGGCTTTGTCCCCAAATTAGATGATGTCCAATCCTATGGAAACGGCCAGAACTTTGATTACAATCTGAAGCCTGGAACTGATATTACCACACTTGGTAGAGAATTGAATGGCTTTATGCAAACGAATAGTGTTAGAGGGCCGGTTATAGCATTACCAAGCAAGGATATTGAGGTTGGGGGGAAAACAGACGTGACTCTGAAAGGAGACGAGGATGCACATGGAAAACGAAAACCTCTTAACAGTGATACGTCTCTTGACAGTGCAAGCTATAAGGAAATAGCAACCATTTCCATTTCCAATGTGGAAAAATGCACCAACCTGTCGAAAGTCCGAGCAAACCTCAAGAAAATATATAATAGGGTTCTTGTTGTTGATAATGTGTCTAGTGCAAAGGAAACCGTGGCTATGCTGATGAATCAATATAGGAATCTTGTCCATGCTTGCGATACAGAGGTATGTGGTCATGCGTCTGCTAATACATTGTTGTTCACATGGCCTAGAAATGCTAATGTTCTTGACGTATAGACGCTTTTTTTTAATACTGATTTTACTCTCTGATGATCAATTCTGTAGGTGTCCAGGATTGATGTGAAGACTGAAACACCTGTGGACCATGGGGAGATGATATGTTTCAGTATCTATTGTGGATCAGAAGCAGATTTTGGAGACGGAAAATCATGTATCTGGGTAGATGTGCTTGGCGAAAATGGAAGGGATATCTTGGCTGAGTTTAAGCCATTTTTCGAGGACTCATCCATAAAAAAAGTGAGCTAAAACGAAAAACAACTTGCTGTGTTTCTATTTTTTCAGTGAAATCTGGATAATCTGGTGTTACGAATCTTATTTCGCTTTTTCTCTTGTTGTGTGTTTCCCTGAAAAGATGATTGACTACTTCTTCACCTTGGCTCTCTTTTGTTTAGTTGGAGGCACTAATGACTTCTGAATCATGTTTTAATTTTGTAAATCATTTGAAAATGTTTCCATGATCAGTCAAACAACGCTTATAAGCTTGACCTTTCCTTTTACTTATAGGTATGGCATAACTACAGCTTTGATAACCACATCATCAGAAATTATGGAATCAAGCTTTCTGGTTTTCATGGTGATACGATGCACATGGCACGATTGTGGGATTCATCTAGACGGATATCGGGTGGTTATTCGCTCGAAGCACTTACAAGTGACCCAAGAGTTCTTGGGGGAACTGAGACAAAGGAGGAAGCAGAATTATTTGGTAAAATATCAATGAAGAAAATTTTCGGTAAGGGAAAATTGAAAAAAGATGGATCAGAAGGGAAATTGGTGATCATTCCTCCTGTTAAAGAGCTACAAATGGAGGATCGAGAAGCTTGGATTTCCTACTCGGCGTTGGATTCGATAAGCACTCTAAAGCTTTATGAGAGCATGAAGAAGCAATTGCAAGCGAAGAAATGGTTTCTTGATGGAAATCTAATTTCAAAACAGAACATGTTTGATTTCTACCAAGAATATTGGCAACCTTTTGGTGAACTTCTTGCCAAAATGGAATCGGAAGGAATGCTTGTAGATAGGGATTATTTGGCGCAGATTGAGATTGTAGCCAAAGCAGAACAAGAAATTGCTGTTTCCAGGTTCCGTAGTTGGGCTTCAAAGCATTGTCCAGATGCGAAGCATATGAATGTTGGCAGTGACACGCAATTGCGACAGCTCTTTTTTGGTGGCATTTCTAACAGGTATGCTTCTTGCAAGTCTTGATTTGAACTGCCTTATTTTTCCGTATATATAGAAGTTATCTTTAGAAGAAACCATGACATTTTGGTATTTGACATGTACCACATCACTTTATTACAAAGAAAACCAAATGTATGAGACTCTTGTATCAGAATTTGGTGAAGATTGTAATCTTTTTCCTTGATAAAACCAAGAAAAACACCTGCAGCTCTCAGATTCAGTTTGTGAATCGAATTTTCTTCCCATTATGATGCAAAACAGAAGTTACATAATTTCGTTTCTTAATGCTTATTTCTGATACTAAGTTTTGTTCATATCTGTTACAGTTGTAATGATGAGGATCTTCCATATGAAAAACTTTTCAAAGTTCCCAATGTGGATAAGGTGATTGAAAAAGGAAAAAAGAGAGCCACAAAGTTCCGGAATATCAAACTACATAGGATTAGCGACAGGCCCTTGCCCACTGAAAAGTTCACTGCCTCAGGCTGGCCCTCTATTAGTGGAGACACCTTGAAAGCCTTAGCTGGGAAAGTCTCTGCAGAATATGACTATACAGAGGGCGTTTCAGATACTTGTCTAGAAGAAAACATTGGAGATGATGATTGTATTTCGCTACCAGATGAAGTTTTAGAAACACAACACTCCAATACCACTGTTGAATCAGACACATCTGCTTATGGAACTGCGTTTGATGCGTTTGGAGGGGGTGAAAGTGGAAAGGAGGCCTGCCATGCTATTGCTGCATTATGTGAAGTTTGCTCCATTGATTCCTTAATATCAAATTTTATTCTTCCTTTACAGGTGTGTTTTAAAACAATGTTCCCTGGATTTCAAGCTACTTAATTATTTCCATTAGCATATCCTTTCAGGTTAAGTTTTTATGGAATTTGTTTTCCTAAATGACAGGGAAGTAATGTGTCAGGAAAAGATGGTCGTGTCCACTGCTCCCTGAATATTAACACTGAAACTGGGCGCTTATCGGCTAGAAGGCCAAATTTGCAGGTACATGGCTTGAACTTATTTAAGAGTTAGCTTGAATGGAGATGTAATCAAGTAACTAAGCTTCTCTAATTTCTCTACTGATAACCTTGTAAAATTTCATAATGTTGTGGTATGAAGAGCTAGTACATCTTTGGATTGAAATACTCAAGGTCTATTTTTAATTAAGAGGTATAGTACATCTAGAATTTGTTTGTGAAGTTTTATTTTTCGCTGTCTAGAACCAACCTGCATTGGAGAAAGATCGGTACAAGATCCGTCAGGCCTTCATAGCATCACCTGGAAATTCACTTATTGTTGCTGATTATGGACAGGTGAAATTATAGTTATATCTACTTTTCTGATGACTAGTAAGCTAATTCACTTGTTGACTGTGAGGTGATTTTTCTATCTTCAGCTGGAACTTAGGATTCTGGCACATCTTGCTAGTTGCAAAAGCATGAAGGAAGCTTTCATAGCTGGTGGAGACTTTCACTCAAGAACAGCTATGAATATGTATCCACATATTCGTGAAGCAGTTGAAAATGGTGAAGTGCTCCTTGAATGGCATCCACAACCTGGACAAGAGAAGCCACCAGTGCCATTGTTGAAGGTGAATCCTGGTTTAATGTTTTCGAAACAGGGATTTTTGAAAGTCTTAAAATGCTTAGATTTCTAAGTCTTTTATTCATTTTGCTTGTATAGCTAAAAAGAATAATTCTATTAGTGCTGAACCGTAGCTCTGGACTCTTTCATGGCATTTAGACACCCCCTTTGGCACTTTAAGATTGCAACAGTCGACTTATACAGACTAGGGAAACTAAACTTTGTTCCTGAATTCGTCTAACAGCTGGCAAAATGTTTTCTTACTTATTCAGGATGCCTTTGCTTCTGAGAGAAGAAAAGCAAAGATGCTTAACTTCTCGATTGCATATGGGAAGACTGCTATTGGGCTGTCTAGAGATTGGAAGGTACTATCAACTAAGCCGTTAAGATTGATATGAACAAGCTTGATATAAGATAATAAGCTCACAGCTGTTTTCCATCTTTCAGGTATCAATAGAAGAAGCTCAAGATACAGTTAATCTCTGGTATAATGACAGACAAGAAGTCCGGAAATGGCAAGAACTACGCAAGAAAGAAGCTATACAAAATGGGTATGTACTCACTTTGTTGGGAAGGGCTCGTAAATTCCCTGTATACCGTTCACGTGCCCAAAAAAACCATATCGAACGAGCAGCAATCAACACTCCTGTTCAGGTTTGTTCGCGCTATCATCAGATCTTAACCATTTTGAACTTTATCGACTTTAAACCTCAATCACCACTATTAATACAGGGAAGTGCGGCTGATGTTGCTATGTGCGCTATGCTGGAGATATCAAAAAATCAACGTCTAAAAGAGCTTGGTTGGAAATTGCTTCTTCAAGTAATACTGCTCACAGATTGTTTACATAACTACATGCTTAGATGATTGTTTATCTAAAGGATTCCTTTTGGGCTACATACAGATTCATGATGAAGTAATCTTGGAAGGACCAAGTGAGTCAGCGGAGAACGCTAAAGACATAGTTGTGAACTGCATGTCTGAGCCCTTCAACGGCAAGAATATTCTCTCAGTGGACTTATCTGTTGATGCTAAGTGTGCTCAGAACTGGTATGCTGGAAAATAAGAGGAAAATAGGGACAAAAATCTTGCTACTGAAAGTTAACAATGAGGCAGTGCTTGAGAGGTTTTTTGTTTGTCTCATTGACTCTGTTCATATGTGAAAAAGGAAAAAGGGTCATTTTGTTATCCTAATGAAAGCTAATTGTTAATATGCTATCATCTTTCTTTCTGTTAAAACACATTAGTAGGCTTGTGACATTGCTTGAAGAGTTGTGTTTTTAACTTGGAAAGTTTGTATGGCAATAACGCAACTTTCGTTAAATCTTTCGGCAAATACCACTTTCATTGAGAACCAAACCGGCGCGTGGACGATGTGATTTGTGATATTAACTCCTAAAGGTAGTTGATATATAGCCATAACGATCAGTTACGTAATCTTATAGGAGACTCTAATAAAAACCATTTATTATTTCAAAGGCTTTGTCCCCAGAATAGATGATGTCCATTCTCATGGAAACGGCCACAACAAAAAAACTCTTAACAGTGATACGTCTCTTTACAATGCAAGCTATAAGAAAACAGCAACCATTTCCAATGTGGAAAAATTATCAATGAAGACAATTATGGAATCAAACTTTCTGGTTTTCATGGTGATACGATGCACATGACACTTTTGTGGGATTCATCTAGACAAATTGTTTGTTTCCAGGTTCCGTAGTTGGGCTTCAAAGCATTGTCCAGATGCGAAGCATATGAATGTTGGCAGTGACACGCAATTGCGACAGCTCTTTTTTGGTGGCATTTCTAACAGGTATGCTTCTTGCAAGTCTTCATTTGAACCATGATTTTTTTGTATTTGACATGTGCCATATCCCCTATATATTAATAGAGAAACATTTAAAAAAAAAAACTTACCGTTATTAACAAGATTGCCACGCTGATGTGTCGTTCTCACAATGATTTGGCTTTTATTTAGATAATTACCCAAGATTTATTAGAATATTTACAGAATTTGCCATTAGTCTCATACATCCATATATCCCATTAATAATTAAAAACATACACTTTTTGTTTATCTTATATTACTATATTTTACTTTATATACATTTATATAAATTTTCTTTAGCAGATGGGTAAACAATCTTCTTATTTATATTTATATTTATGTTTATATTTAAATAATAAAATATATACATTTGGTTCAAGAATCTCGAATTCAAAACTACAAAATCTTTACATCTTTCATAAAATTTTTACTTAAATAAATAAGATAATCTCATTTCTATATATGTTACAAATACTTAAAATCCTATTTTTTGGAGGAGTTCTAACTTTTCGAAGAAAAACATTATAACCACATTTATATATAAACCAAAATCTGGCCACATTATAATTATTTCGTAAATAATCCATTCATAATCTAAGAATCTTAGATTTGGAACACTACAAAATCTTAGCTTGGAAACTATCAAATCTCATCTTTGCTAAATTTTGGATTTCTTATACTTATTAAAAAAAAAATTTCTTTTTATAATACAAAATCTCGAAATCTTTAAAACATACGGAAAGACATATTGCCATAAATGGTAACATTTCGTCAATACTTTTTTATCACGTTGAAGCTGTATTCAAGGTTCAAATATTTCACGGGTAAAACATATTCTTATATGAAATAGTCCCAAATTTGAATAAAACAAAAAAAAATTTGTAACATGTTTCGTTTTACACAAACGGATCTTGGATCCCATATAATAATTTTAATCATAATAATTTTACTTGAATCACTTTATCCCGCACATCGTGCGGGTTGTTATCTAGTCACTTTATTACAAAGAAAACCAATGCTAGTCTAAGAATTTGGTGAAGATTGTAATCACTTGAAAAAAAAACAAGAAACACACATGCAACTCTCAGATTGAGTTTGTGAATCGAATTTTCTTCCCATTATGATGCAAAACAGGAATTACATAATTTCGTTTCTTAGTGATTATTTCTGATACTAAGTTTTGTTCATTTCTGTTACAGTTGTAATGATGAGGATCTTCCTTTCATATAAAAAACTTTTCAAAGTTCCCATAGTTGATAAGGTGATTGAAAAGGAAAAAAGAAAGCCACAAAGTTCCAGAATATCAAACTGCATAGGTTTAGCGACAAACCTTTGCCCACTGAAAAGATCATTGCCTCAATCTGACCCTCTGTTAGTGGAGACACCTTGAAAAACTTCAAACATGTATAACTGGGTTCTCTTTGAATCATCATTAGAATCATAGACGTCTTGAACAGGTTCCACCTCAAGCAAAACAGGTTGATGATCATGCAAGAAAAGTTCATGCTCAACAACTGATTCTGGTTAGACCTATAAAAGAAAGAGGAACAACATCAAATTTTACACATGTAATAAACTGGAAACTGACCATTTCATAGGTAGGCTAAATAGCTTAGATCTCACTCACAGATTGATTCGCCCATTCGGGTTAGGATTATTGTCTATGGGAGCACCTGAGTGACTGTTCATAAAACCAGGCACGACCTGGAAACGCCAAGTTAGGTATTCCTCCATCATCTTCGAAGTCACTGTCTTGTCCTATTCTTCCATCATCTTCGAAGTCCTGTCCAAGCCCTGCCTAGAGTAATGAAGGTTGGAGGCGAGTTTATTAATAATGTTTGTATCGTTTAAAATAAATTCTTCAATTCGCCAAAAAGAAATGTACATACAACATGACAAATTTAAATATTCAAAATCAACTTAAAATATGTTATTGTCTATATGCATATTTCACTAAAGTTAAATCTAAGATAGTAGATTTACTTTGATTGTGAACATGATTTAGTAATTATACTACATCGAAATAGATTAGGTGAAGAAAGAAGTAAGCACAATTGTAAATTGAAGTTTAACTTGTGAATAATTTGTACAAAAAACTCTATAAATTAATTAAAAAATTTTGGTCTCCAGTCGGACCAGTGTAATATTTAACATAATTCGATAAAATAGTAAAATAATAATTTATTTGAAAATCCTATGTAACTATATGGTCCATCAGTATCATCAATTAATAATTGGGAAAAATGTCATTTAAATCGTCACTTTGCCATTTGTGGAGGTTTAAAGCATGAACTTTGAGCCTGGTGCTTTTAATCCTCAATTTCTAGTTGACTTTCAATTTAATCTCTAACTTTCGTTGACGAAGCCGATTGAGGCACGTCGTTAACTAGACAAACGGAGGATTAAGACGTTGTTATCTGTCCGTCTAATATATCCGTTAATAAGCTAAACGACGTCATTTAATCAAATGAAAACCCCCAAATTCAAACTCGAACCCTAGAAGACCAAATCGAAATTAGAAATACAAAATCGAAGATTCTCTCTCGTTTTCTTCTCTAATCTCGATTCCTTCTCAAATCTCGATCTCATCTTTATTCCTCAAGATCTGTTGTCTCGATTCCGATGAGTTCTAGCTCCGAGACATCGATAGTACTCGCTGCCCGTGGAGTGCCTTCGAAGGTGTGTGTGGGTTAGGTGTAAGGATCTTTACATCGAAAACTCAAGAGAATCTTGGACGACCGTTCTTCCGTTGTCTAAGCAAAAAAGATGCAAGCTCGTGGACAAGCAAGAGAGATGTAAGTAGCCATCGGGTTGGTTTATGTTGTTTATGTGTGTAATGGTAGCAAATGTTTTTTGTTTATGCAACAGGGGCACTTGTTTAAGTGGGTCGAAGATGCTGTGTATGAGGAGGTGGAGGATGCATTGCCAAAACTAGGAATCATGGCAAATGAGATTGTGAAAGCGAAATCTGAGGTTAATGAGGCCAATGTTGCTATACAAGAATTCAAGGAAGATGCAATGTGGAGCAAAATGGAACTCCGGAAGTTGAAAGTGATGTTGAAAGTCTGTTTAGTGTGGCTATCTTTGATGACAATTGTCATTGCTTACCTAATGCTTGGTAAAGCAAAACACTCCAAGTTTGTTCTCGGTTATTAATGTATGTCGGCTATGATTATGTATGTGGTCTTGTTGGGTATGTTTGGCAATGAAATCGGGTTGGCTTTGTCTCTGAAATGTGTGTTTTGTTGAGTTAGCAATTAGTTAGACACATAGACAAAACAAACAAAGGTTAAGAAAACACATAAATTAGAATTTCAACATTCTGAAACAACCTTGTTCTAAAACAAAAGAGAGAAACAAACAAAAAACAAGTTTTCTTGTTCTGAAACAAACAAATAATCGGAACATAAAAGAACTGCAGGTCCAAAAACATACATAAAAACAAGCCCTGTCTTACATAACATCAATCTCATACATCTTAACTTGAGCATTCAAACCATGATCTCCAGCCTCCTCTTCTTTGTGAGGTCTGTGGTGCTTGAGAGGGTTCCCACTGGTGTCATGTTGTCTCTGCTGGTTGCGTCTGTTGTGCTGCACTCCTTTGTGGTCTTTGGTTCCTCTGTGGTGGCTGCCTCCTATGTGGTGGCTGCCTCTGTGATCCTTGAGAGGCTTGTGTTCTTCTCTGTGAAGTTCCAATTGAACCGTGTGATCCTTGAGTTGGTTGTGATCCTTCCCATGTTTGTCCTTGGCCAAACAGGACATTCCTTGGTTCCTAAAACAAAGAGAAGATATTAGACATTTAAGCATCATGGTATTAGACAGGAAGAAAGCATCATACCTGACCCTTCCTTGGTCTTCCTCTTGGTCTTTTAGGTTGCTCTGCAACAGTCGGATTTGTACAAGATAACCTATTGTGCCCATCTTGTTTGCAGTTTCCACATGTGATGATTCTATCCTTGCGTGACAGTCTGGTGCTTGTGTTTGTTGTCTTAGATTCATACCTTTCTTTCCTCCTTGCATGGTTATTTGGCCTACCAGGATTGCCTTTTCTCCATGGTGGTGGCAAGACTCCCAATCTATTCATCCTAGGCCATTCCATCTGACCTTGGACAGGCTCAATACCATCTGCATATGTTAGCTGCCACATTCTTGTTGTGTACCAGTCACTAACAAAATCTTCAACCTTTTGTTTCTTTGATATGATCACAGCAGCCGCATGAACACAAGGAATACCAGTCATCTGCCACTTAATGCATCCGTATTTATGCTCATTCATATCAACAAAATATTTATCTTCATGCAACTCTACCTCATATTTATTGTGCCTAG